TTTTTAATAAGTGTATTATTTTTTTCTTTAGTTTTGTCTTTCACCTTTTATAAAATTGTAGTTTTCAGTGACCGTATACCTCGGGGGCGCAGCTACGTCACGGACGTTCTACGTTGCTAAGACGCGCACCACTGTGCCACGTATGCGCGCTGCTGTGGAACGCCGGTGGAGCCGGTGAAAACTCGAGAAAACAACACAAACTCAACTTTGAAGTAATCCTGAACAACCAAATTCATATATGTTACACACGTAGGGCTAATCTTGTTACACTTGTTACACTTGTTACAGGGGACTCTCATCAACCATCGCAAAGTACCGTTTTCTGCGAGTTTTTGGTCTTTGTTTTCACCACGAGGGTTGCCAGGCGGTAGAAAATGCCCGGATGTTCGCCGCCCCCCCCCGAGAAAACAAGGTTCCGCATTACTATAGCGCCATCTTACGTTGACAGACGTGTGACCAATGACGTCATGACTTAACTAATATGGCCGCCCGGTGAACTTGTTTTCAAGTACATGAATTTTGCAAAGTATTTTCAGATTTATCGAGGTGCTATTTTTAACAATTATATAAAATGATAATTTCTACGATAATCAGACGGCTTGGACGAAGTAATCCGGCAAAAAGGGTATGTATTCTGTCGAAGATTTCGGGGGTCGCGAGTTGGTCGATCGATCGTCGTGATTTCCGTTTCAAACAAGTTCGTTTCACCATGGACATAAAAAAACTTTTTTTAGCTCCATAGTTTTACTAAACATTTATGAACAATAGTGTGGTATGAGGGTCCGTAATAGTCCTTTCATGGCAACCCCATTTGTATTGCACAAGTCATGAGTGCAGTACTTTAGGATTGTACATTTTTGAGGGAGAATTAAATGAGGCCGAAGCTTGGGACTGGGGTATGTTAGGGGTCCGTATATTTCGTTGTTTCGCCATGGTTTGGGATTGGAAACATTGTTAAAATTATAATTATTTACCACATCCCTCATCTGCATTAACGCCCATTTGGAATTATTTTAATCAGACGTGTAAGGTACTTGTGTCGTGATACTCAGTCTTTGTTAAAACGTGCCGATAAAAGGAGTGCTCCAGCGTTTTGAAAATAATCTTTGTATCAGTGGGCTAAACCTGCCCTCTGTTCGAATCAAAGAGAAGTGGACATGTCACTATTTGTTTTTCATTGAAGTGACATCTTGAATAATTTTATTTTATTATTTAATACTAGTGGCTTTCGGGATACCGTAAAATTCCTAATTGAGGTCGCAGCTTTAAAAAAATTCATTTTTTCAATGGACGAATTCAGATGCGAAGTCTTGGTGCGGCTTTAATTAGAGCATTCACTTCGGTAACAGTGGGACATTTTTTCAAAAAACAAAGGCCAGAAGGGATAATGTTATGCTAATGAGATGCACTAAGCTCGATTGCAACTTTGTTGTGATTCTAAGTGCACTTTCGGATTTTTACACACAGACAAACTTGTACACAAACAAAATTTCACACTGTATAACATACTGCACAATAAATAATATCTACAAATAGATTTGTATGCATTTGCAGATTACGATATTGTATACTACAATCTTTTGAATAGACTAATTCGTTAGCACCGGTATAGGTCACAACTGAGAGACAGCCGTCTGACAAAGTCGATTGCGTTCGACTACTGGCATGTTTGACTTCCGGCAGAGTGACTGTACATTCCATGTTTAATTTAGACATTGGGGAAATTAAAATAAAAAATAAAAAAATCAATAAAAAAAAAATGTTCGGCATGATAACAAAAAAAAATATATATATATTTATTTTCATATTTTTTTGTTGATAACGAAAAGTATATTCTAAAAGAAGTAAAAACAAAAATGAGTGCATTCTTAGTAGCAAATGATCATGGTAACGGTCATGCTGCGTTTCACACAAGTGAATAACTTACTTGTTTTCAAGTGTTGCAATTGCTGATTATTACTCAGTAGTATCGGCTAATCAAATCTGATTTAAACCTTGACCATATTTAGTCAAGCTAAAAAACTTTGAACTACCAAATTTCGTCTTAGTGACCATAGTCTCAAAATTGAAATAGGTCTTCATAAAAAAATCCCACTAAACAACAGGGTTTGAGACATGTGTAACAAAGGTCTAATTGAGGATGAAATGCATTTTCTGCTGGAATGCAACAAATACAATGAGTTGCGTACCAAACTGTTCAATAAAGCTAAGGATCTGATCCCAGCATTTGAAAATAAACCTGCAGAGAAAAAATTTATGGAATTGTTGCAGAATGAAAACGTTGTTATACCAGTAGCACTGCACAGTTCATAAGTAAAAGCTTCAAAGTCAGGAAGCAGGGTCTTACTTGACATCTTAATGCCTGCTGTCAATTTAGTAATTTCATATTAGTTAGTATTTTAGAGATTTTGTATTATTTAGTAATTTAGTGATTGTATTTGTTATTAAGTATATCGTGTTTTTTGTTTTTTTTTATAAATTTTTCTCCTTGTACTTTGTGACAATTTTCTTTCCCTCCTGGGATTGTGTAAGAGTCAATAAGTAAATAAAAACAATAACATACAAAAAATAATTGTTGTGAAAATTCAACTTAGTTTCACCGCAAGTGAATGATTCGGTCACATATAAACACTCGATCCGATACGGTATACGCCATGTTTGTTCAAACATCTTTAGTGACTTGAAACTGTTTTTTGATCTGATAGGTCAAGTCGCTAATTAACCAATCAAAACGGAAAAATCTGAAAAAAATGTTTGGCCCACCGTTGCCATAGCAACAGCCAAAAAACTGATTTTTGGATAGCTTTGCGCCAAATGTATCTCCTCCTACAAATTTAGGATAAAAGACCTCAGACATAGCTCTTTCTACTCAGCTTGAGTGTGGGCACAAACTTACTATTTGAATTTTTGGTATCTTTTTTCATTATTTTGAGAAATTTGACCCCAAAGTTTGGGTAACTATTCACCAGGAATGGCTTTTAAACTCTTCTGTGATTTTTTTGGCCGGCCGATTTGGTTCAAACTTTGCAGGCAAGTCACACCTTCACTCTAGTTAGGTTCTAAAATCTGAAAACAAGTTCTGGCCCACCATTTCCATGGTAACAGCCAAAAAACTGATTTTTTGAATACCTTTGTGCCAAATGTATCACACCCTACATTTCTAGGATTAAAAAGCTTGGACGTAGCTCATTCTACTCAGCTTGAGTGTAGGCAAAAATTTCCTGTTTTTTTAGTCCCCGTTCGGACGCAGTCTGAAAACGGGGTCTTATGTTTGACCTCCGTGTGTGCGTGTGTGTGTGC